ACAGATAATAGTGCTGGGAAGGCCTGGGGAGGGGGTGTGTGGAGTGGGATGAAGTAGGTCAATGGGGGAAAAAAGGGGACATCTGTAATACTTTCAACAATAAAGTTAAATTTAAAAAAAAGCAGTTTTCTCAGATCCATTTGAGGCTTTAAGATATTGTCATAGATGATATTGTTAAACTTGCACATCTTGAAAACTGTGAAGATTAAAGTACTCAATACTGTCTAACTTTACTAAAAGCTCCTTACATGTTGCATGAAGTTACTACATTATCATTTTGAGCTTAATATATGTCTTTAGTTATTTCTCCCAAAGATGTTTGATTCCACTGTTGCTTTATAATATTTTAATTAGGAGACATTAATTTGATCTAGAAAATATTTTTCTTCTGTTAATTTTAAATGTTAGCAAATATTCCCATTTATGGTCAAAGAATTCTGAATAACTCCTGAATAAATTGTCATATTTTTTTCTCAGACATGAAGGTAGGATTTTATTTTGTTTTTTAAGTTACATTTTAAAAATATTTTATTAATATTTTAAATGTGTTTTGTTGTTGTTGTTTTTTGTTTTTTTACTTTTTTAGAGAGAGGAAGGGAGAGGGGGATAAACAACAATTGGCTGCCTCCTGCATTCCTCACACTGGAGATTGAGCCCACAACCTGGGCATGTGCCCAGACCTGGAATTGAACTGTAACCTCCTGGTTCAAAGGTCAAAACTCAGCCACTGAACAACACCGGCCAGGCCTAACTGGTGACCTCTTGCTTCATGAGACCATGCTCAAGCAACAGAGCCACACTGGAGGCTTTTTCATTGATTTTTAGAGAGAGAAAAGGAGAGGAAGAGAGAGAGGCCAAAACATCAGTGTGAGTGCAAAGCATTGATCAGGTGCTTCCTGAATGTCCCCTATGGGGGATGGAGCCACAACCCAGGAAATGTGCCCCGGGAATGGAACTGGCAACCTTTTAGTGGTTGGGACAACGACCAACCAGCTGAGCCACACTGGCGAGGGCAGACATGAAGGTAAGATTTTAAAAGTCATTAAGAATTTAAAGAAGGATCTCTTAACCTTTGAGATAGCATGGAGCAGCCATGGGCAAACTACTGCCCGCGGGCCAGATCTGGCCCGTTTGAAATGAATAAAACTAAAAAAAAAAAGACCGTACCCTTTTATGTAATGATGTTTACTTTGAATTTATATTAGTTCACACAAACACTCCATCCATGCTTTTGTTCCGGCCCTCCGGCCCAGTTTAAGAACCCATTGTGGCCCTCGAGTCAAAAAGTTTGCCCACCCCTGGCATGGAGGGACCAGGAAAGCATTATGCTAAACAAAATAAGCCAGTCAGACAAGTATCACATGATCTCACTCATACGTGGAATCTAAAGAACAAAATAAACTGATGAACAAAATAGATCCACAGACATAGAAGCATGAAACAGACTGTCAAATCTCAGAGGGAAGGCAGAGGTGAGTGGGTGGGATGGAGAGAGATTAACCAAAGAACTTATATGCATACTAGAGGCCCAGTACACTCACAAGGGGTGGGGGTTCCCTCAGCACGGCCTGTGCCCTCTAGCAGTCCAGGAGCCCTCAGGGGATGTCCGACTGATGGTGGGCCTAAGCTGGCAGTTGGACATCCTTAGCGCTGCCGCTGAGGCCGGAGAGGCTCCCGCCACCACTGCTGTGCTCCCCAGCTGTGAGCCGACCTCTGGCTGAGTGGCACTCCCCCTGTGGGAGCACACTGACCACCAGGGAGCAGCTCCTGTGTTGAGTGGCTGCCCCTTGGTGGTCAATGTGCGTCATAGCGATCAGTTGTTCTGCCATTGGGCCGAAACCGGCTCTCCCACATTCCCTGAGGGGTCCCCAATTGTGAGAGGGCACCGGCAGGCCCAAGGACCACACCGGTGCATGATTGGGCTGGGGAGGGACGCAGAAGGTTGGCCAGCCAGGGAAGGACTGCAGGAAGGCTCAAGCAGCAAGCTAATCTACCAGTCAGAGCATCTGCCCCCTGGTGGTCAGTGCATGTCATAGCGAGTGGTTGAGCGGCCTTAGCATATCATGCTTTAATTGGTTGAAAGGCCAACTGACCGGACACTTACATATTAGGCTTTTATTATATAGGATTATATCACCTTCCTTCATCAGTTGCTCAAACTAGTCTACATCTAGTCCATCATGTAAATGGGAGGGAAAAGGGTACATCTGTATTACTTTCAACAATAAAGATAAATTGTGAAGCAACAAATCAATGCTTCTCTCTCACTTCCCCTCTCCCCCTCTGTGTCTAGAATCAATAAATAAAAAGAAGAAACTGCAAATCTCATTCTCCAGAGAATTTGAGAACTTGCTTTCTGGCAATGTTATCAGTTTGGACTCCAATAAATTCTTATAAAAATTCACTACAGGTTTGGATGCTCTTACAAGGCAGAGGCAGCAACATAAACCAGTTGACTATGCTGCTATCAGCGTAACTCTTCTACATGAGGATCTAAGGATGGGTCATCTGCTTAGTAGCTGTGCAATGAAGACAAGTCTTCATTCTACTCTGAACATGAGTTTGAATTTGTTGCGTTGTCAGAGAATATTAAGGAATTTTTAATTGTAGGATTGACAACATTAAGACTTGTATTATCCAGTTAAAATGTTACTATTTTTCATCTAAGTTTCTTTACTCAAATGTTTTTATTATTAAGTAATAATAATTACTTTCACCAGAGCAGTCAACTCAAAGTAAAAAAATCAAAAAAAGATTTACTTGCTCATGTTTCAACATTTCCAAAAAAATCACTAGCTTCCCTAGATCCTTTGCCTAGGCCTGTCGTCGGCAAATCACGGCTCACGAGCTACATGCGGCTCTTTGGCCCCTCGAGTGTGGCTCTTCCACAAAATACCGACTTCTGCACATGGGCCACGAAGTTTCAATCGCACTGTGCGTGCGTGCCTGCACGTGGTATTTTGTGGAAGAGCCATACTCAAGGGGCCAAAGAGCCGCATGTGGCTCGCGAGCCGTGGTTTGCCGAGCCGCAGTTTGCCGACCACTGGCCTAGGCAATGCAATCAGCAAGTATTTTGTAAAGATAGCTTTAGTTCTCATGTGAATTATGTTTAATGACATACATGTATTATATATACACACATACATGTATACACACACTCAAGAATTGTATAAAATTAAAAATGCTCTAAGTGTGTATTTTTGAATTTCAAATCTTTTACCATACTAATTATTACTGAAAATCTAATGTATAGCTGACATAATGAACCAGTGAGAAAATTTTGGTCTGCCAGGTTACAAAATCCATTCTACTACCAGTTTTATTAGTCAACATTTCACATGTTGTTTTTTTAAATAAATGTGGTAATTGTTTTGCCAAATTTCCCGTTAATTTACAAGATGGTCTGCAAATCTCTCAGTAAATGTGAAAGCAAAGTAGAGAATGAAAACAAAATGTTCGCATCTTTTCTGGTCAGTGCCACCAGAAATTTATTTCCAAGATCAAAAAGGCTCAGATCATAAGGCTGTTTTAAAGAGGCTACCACAAAATATTTATTGTCTGAGTGCCAACATATATCTGCTTTCCTGGGGGGAGTGGGAGTGAGCAGTGGTCCTACCTTCCCCACACGCTCACAGCCCTGTTCAAGAGTAAAAGCAAGTTCCCAGAAGAAAAGGGAAAAGCCACAGGGCAATGAGAACTCAGGTTATCCCCTTCAGAAACCCCCAGGGTGAAAACTGCCCTGCAGAAACTACCAATTATTCTGCTTTGATTGTATCTTCAGGGGGAGAAGACAAGACTCAGGGGAGGAAATAAACTCATTCATCAATCAGGCTTTCTGGAGGTGGTACAGACTCCCAAATACTGGCATTAGCCTAATGCAACGGTTCTCAACCTGTGGGTAGCGACCCCTTTGGGGGTCGAACGACACTTTCATAGGGGTCGCCAAAGACCATCGGAAAAACACATATATAATTACATATAGTTTTTGTGATTAATCACTATGCTTTAATTATGTTCAATTTGTAACAATGAAAATACATCCTGCATATCAGATATTTACATTACGATTCATAACAGTAGCAAAATTACAGTTTGAAGTAGCAACAAAAATAATTTTATGGTTGGGGGTCACCACAACATGAGAAACTGTATTAAAGGGCCGCGGCATTAGGAAGGTTGAGAACCACTGGAATGGCAGTCCCCAGCATAACCAGTCTTTCTTCTGAAACCTGAAACTCACCTATGGAAGTAGGAAAAAAGAAAAATGTATGTTCCCTGTGGAAAAAAGGGGGCAACCTACTAATTCTGAAAAATATAATAAATGAAAGGTTATATCAGGAATGCAAGAGAAAAATATTTCACGCAACAAAAATGAAAGCACATGAGAAGTATACTGCAAAGGAACTCCCAAAACTTACACAGGCGTTCAATAAATACTTTGAACACTCACGAGCTAAACTTATGCAACGCACCAGTCCTAGGCTGTCAACACCAGCAGGCTCCTTCCCCGCCCTCCTCTACCACGTGCTCCCGACAAGGTCACTGGCGACCTCCGCCAGGTCAAACCTCGATAAAGTCCAGTCTCCGACCCATTTGCTCACCTCTCCTCCTGCTTCTCCTGGCTCAGGGGGACGCTCACGCCTGGTTTCCCACCAAACTCTCTGAGGCCCCTCCTCCCCGGGCTCCAGACAGACAGCTCCCCCAACAGGGCCAAGCTCCGAACTGTCCCCGGACCTTCAACCCGCACAGCCTAGAGCATCACCCTCCTCGGCCGGCTTCTGCCCCTCTCACACCCAGGCAGGCTGGTCACTGTCCTGACAGCTGCACCTTACACTCTGCCCCGATCCCACCCCGCCTCCCAGGCCCACGGCCACCGCGCTGCCCCAGGCCCCCACCCTCTGCCACCCGGACGCTGCGGTGACCAGCGTGACTGCTCGGAGGGGGCGCTCCGCTCCGCGCAGGGGCTCCCGGGCCCCCCTCGCAGCGGCCCACCAGCCCACCTGCTCCGGCC